TTGCGAGGAAATATAAGACGCGTGCCGCTGTTGTTGTAAATCCGGGGCCAGGAGCACAATTTGGTGACACCCCTTGTGAAAAACATGTGCGAACCCCTGAAGAAGCACTTTAAATGTTGAATACAATGGTTACCGGGGAGGTGGGGTCAACAACAAATCTTGAGACATGGGGATTTAAACATCATTTGAAGACTATTCGCTCTTATCTCTTCGCATTCCAGCCAAAACATAAAACCCACACCCTCGGTACACGCACTCTTCGTCTTCATTCGCATCCTCTTGGGGGTACATCCTCTTATCTGCCAAGTGCATTTGGCGCAGCCCCTGAAACAGCCGATGAAAGGAAGGATGGAAGGGAGAGGACGAAGGATGGAGCACAAGAGGAATTAGCAGGAGGGAGGCCCAGAGAAGAAAACACTTGGTAGAAACAAACGGGCAGATCGGGCGGGCAGACCCAAGCTGGCGGATCAGAAGGCGTGCCCAGACGGCCAGGTCGAGCAAGCGAGCTGCTGAAGCGTAATTCCTGCATGAATCGCGAGGAGGTATCGAGCGATAGCGCGATTCCCACGTAAATCATGAAAACGGCCCAAACGAGAGCGTGACTCCTGAGTGTCGAGGGCGCGGCGTCTGAATACATTGCGAGGATGTCCCACGCGAAAGCGCAATTCCTGTATGCATTGTGAGGCAGTCCCGTGCGAAAGCGCGGTTTCGGAAGAACTTGCGAGGAAGTATCAGGGGGGTAGCCGCTGTCCTTGTAGCAGGCGGGCCCGGGGCCAGGGGCACAGTTTGAGCAGGAAGACGTTCCCTGCTAAAAAACAGGGTGCGTTCCCCGAGGGGGGACACTACACTTGAAAACACACCATGTACACCAGTTGGGGGGTCAACAATAATGAATCTTCAGGGGTGAGAGCCCAACAGCCATTTTAAGACTGGTCGCCCCTATCCGCTCGCGTGCCCTTCAACATGTGAAACCCGCACCCTCGATACTCGCCCATTTCGTCTTCGATCGTACCCCCTTGGAGGTATATGTTCCTAACCTGCCACATGCATTAGTGCAGCCCCTGAAACAGGGGGAGAGAGGACGGATGGAGTGGGAAGGAAATTGGGTGGAGCACGAGGAAAATTAGCAGGAGGGGGGGCTAGGAGCAGAAAACACGTGGTAGAAACAGACAGTCAGATCGGGCGGACAGACCCTAGCGGGCGGGTCGGGAAGGCGGGCCCAGGAGGCCAGGTCGAGCAAGCGGGCTGCTGAAGCGTGCGTCCTGCATGAATCGCGAGGAGAGCTCGAGCGATAGCAAGATTCCCAGATAAACCGTGAGAACATCCAAAACGAGATTGTGATTCCTGAACGTGGATGGCACGGCGTCTGAATAATTTGTGAGGCAGTCCCGCGCGAGAGCGCGACTTTGGAGCATATGACGAGGATGTATCAGGCGGTAGCCGTTGTTGTTGCTGTTGTAGCAGGGGTGCCATGGGCACACTTTGAGCAGGAAAAAGTTCCCTGATAAAAAACAGGGTGCGAGACCCGAGGGGGGCACTCCAATGAATAATATGCGCCAGTGGGGGGAATAACAACAATAATTCACCATGAATAGATACTCAAAAACAACAACAGCTACAGCAGCAGTAACAACATCAACAAACCGGCGACGCCCCTGGCGCCTGGATACACGGAATAAGAGGCCCCTTCCACTTCGTGCACCATATACACGGAGCAATAGCGCCTATAATCTCCGTGTATCGGATACACCGAGCAATCGCGGCCGATTACTCTGTAAGAAATTCCACAGCGAGGAGGTCCCACGCGTCTGAATCAATTTCGAGGAGGTCCCACGCGAGAGCGTGATTCTGCATACAGTTTGAGGAAGTTCCGCGCGAGAGCGCGATTTGGGAATAACTTGTGAGGAAAAATCAAGCGTGCATGCGCCGCTGTTTTGTTGTAAACCGGGGGGCTAACGACACATTTCTGGGACTCAAGACTTTCCCTGATGGAAAACGGGGTACGAGCCCCAGAAAGGGCACTTCAAGTGAACAAAACACAAATGTGCCCCGGAGGGGGGAGGATCAGCAGTAATTATTCTTTAGAAATTCAACAACAACAACAACAACAACAACAACAACAACAACAACAACAACAACTCAGTTCAAGACTGACGCCCTTAGCAACTCGCATGCTATTAAAAACGTATGTCCCCAAACCCCGGTACCCGCCGTCTTGGTCTTCGATCGCACCCCCCATGGAGCTATATCCTTCCCTGCCTTCCCCGCGTTTGATTGGCACAGCCCCTATAAAACAGGGAATAGGGAGGACGGATGGAGCACGAGAGAGTGCACGGATGCAACCCCTGAGGCAGGGAAAGAGGGGACGGATGGAAGGAGGAGACAAGGGGGAGACCGGAGGATGGATCACGAGGGAAATTAGCAGGAGGGGGAGCTAGGAGCAGAAAACACGTGGTTTAACCAGACGGGCAAATCGGGCGGGCAGACCCTAGCGGGCGGGTCGGGAAGGCGGGCCCAGGAGGCCAGGTCGAGCAGGCGGGCTGCTGAAGCGTGCGTCCTGCATGAATCGCAAGGAAGTCTCGAGCGATAGCGAGATTCCCAAATAAATCATGAGGAAATCAGCAGCGAGAGCATGATTCCTGAGTGTCGAGGGCGCGGCGTCTGAATAAATTGCGAGGCAGTCCCACGCGAGAGCGCGATTCCTGTATAGATTAAGGAAATCTCGCGCGAAAGCGCGATTTTGGAATACATTGTGAGGAAGTGCCAGGCGAGAACCGCTGTTATTACAAACACGGGGGCCAAAGGCCCAGTTTAGTGACCCGTCACTTTCCCTGGTAAAAAAAACAGGGTGCGGGCCCAGCGAAAAGCACTCGAATGCAAAAAATGAAGTGGGCAAAAGGGGATCAACAACAATCATTCTTCAAATATGAGAATTCAACAACGACAACAACAACAACTACAACAACCCCAACAACTACAACAACAACAACACCACCAACAACAAAACCAACAACGACGACGACAACGACAACTACGACAACCCCAACAACAACTGCTACTACAACAATAGCAGCAGCAGCAGCAGCAGCAGCAGCGGCAGCAGTAACAACAGCACCAACAACGACAACGACAACGACAACGACGACGACGACGACAACGACAACGACCACGACATCACCACCAGCAACAGCAACCGCAACCGCAATAGCAGCAACAACCATGTGAATGATGTTCGCTCGTATCTGCTCGCGTGCCGTCCAACACGCATATCCCCAACCCTCGATACTGGCCCTCCTCGTCGTCGATCGTACCCCCTGGGTGAGCGGCAGTTTCGACGGCAGCTCTTGGGAGGTCTGCGCGGGAACGAGGAAGAACCATCTCGCCCGATGAGGGGGCCATTGAGTCGCACTACCTGAGCATTTCATAGGGTGGAGGGCTCACGGTGAAATCCATATGGGCTTTTGCAGCTCGAAAATCAATCCGTCTTGTGATTCACCTTTTGCATACTCAAACCTCGAAAATCAATCGAAACGGCACTTCAGATTTCACCCTGTGCCCTCCACCCAAAGAAAATGCTCGGACTGAGCTTGGTTAGGCCCCGAATGAACAAGACTAGGCCGCGTTCATGGAGAACTGGCCAGATTCAGCCTCTCTGTTGAACACGGATAGGCCAACGCCGATGCTGAAGTAAAACCTTCCAAGTGTTGCAGTCTAGTTAGGGTCGGGGGGAGGAGGAGGTCTGAGGCGGGAGCTGTACTGATACAGACTGAAATAGACCGATTTCCCAGAACGCGAGGAGGCGGTGGACATTGATATCCGGGCCTCGGCGGGTCCAAGCATATCCATATCCACCGCCTCCTTGGGCCCTGGGAAATAGTTCCCATCGCGGCGGATATTTCTAATGTATGATCTCTCGAGCAAAAATTCTAGGTCTACCGAACCAAACACCAGGACCCGAACACGGAAACACGCGCGCCGAGACACTGCACACGGAGCCGCGCTCGGACCTGCCTAAAACTCCAACCTCAATGCATCAGGGGCTGGAGAGTGTTGTTATTGCGCCCCGGCTAGCAAAGCCCTTGGCAGCCATATCCCTGCTGGCTTCCCCATCAAGGGCAAGGGTGTCCATCATACCGAGAACCTGCCACTAGGAGAGAGAGGGATGCGGAAGAAAGAGAAGTACTAGAGTGCGGTCGAGCGCAGGGGTGAGCGAGCAGCCCATCAGAAACACGCGTACCCTGGACTGCCAAGCTTCGAAGGTTGCTATTGCCAGGGGTATCGATTCGGTGAAATCCAAGTCAGTAATATTGACTAGCACTTCAAGGGTAACATTCCAATTGCTGGGACTGGACAAGGGTCGACACAAAGAAAAACTAGACACGTAAGGCTAAAACAATAACCAATACGGTATTCAACGCAACAAAAAAACACGTAACTAATTGTGCAGCATCAGCCTGTACTACGAACAGCGTCATAAATCATCGTTCGGAGCCTTTGCCTTGGACCAATGATTGTGTCGTTAATCAGTGTGGCTGCTCCAGGGTGGTGCAGACATGTAAACAAAGCAGTAATGGAAGCAGGTTGCATGCCGATGAGAATATTGTCCCTTCAACTGCGCGTCCTGCCACTGCACGCGCTGACATTCCTCAGACTTTGTCTGCTCCCCCTCATCCCAATCCTTCCTACACGCCTCCCGCCCTCCGTCCTCCCACCCCTCCTCCGTTCCCCCTCAAGCAATTGGGGCTATTGCAGGTGGGGCGGGGACTGGGGCACCCTTTCCTTCACACCTACCCACCGCACCTCCAGAGTCCCAGTCCTGCACCTCAGCGTGGTGCTTGAGTGGCATCGCGGGCGCGATCGGGTTCGCTACCGCGTTGGCTAAGCAGGACACAGTATACAGACGAGACCCCTTTCCAGCTGCTCCCATGTCGGGTCTTTCTTCCAGGATCTGGAGCAGGTGCGCCAGCTGCAAAACGTGCGAATGGAATCACATCCTTGAGGACAACGGTCGAGTTTGCAAGAAGTGTGGGCACCAAGTCCGCCTCCACAGGGCCAGGTCCAAGTCCCCCAAGAGTGTTTCCTTCGATATCGGCAAGAATCAGTTGCTCAAACCAGGGAAGTCTATTCTGAAAGGATCTGTCGCACAGGCCACGACGAAGGCTCCATCGGTGAGGGAGCTCCTGGTCAACGCCATCGCTGCCGCTACGGACCCGAAGTTGCGCGACACCCTGCAGGCGGAGCTGTCCAAGCTCGAGGGTGAGCAGCAGGAGCCCGTCTGGGAAGAATCTGCAGCGGAAGCAGTACGTCGCGCCGATTCAGCATGGAGGGATGCAGAACACAAGCGCAATCAGTCGGTGAAGTCAGTCATGAGGCTCAGGCAACAGCTCACCGCCGCCGAGGACAAAGAGATGGCAGCGGCCACTGCCCTCGCAGAGGCCACGCTGAGCAAGCAAGCTGCTGCCAAACGTCTCGCTCAAGCCGACGGCGTGGCCGAGGCCGGGTTAATCAATTTGTCATGGGATGCCACTATCTTTGATAACTTGGAAGATTTTGATAAGAGCAGGTCAAGGAGTGGCTGAAGAAGGCTACGAATTTGCGCCAAGCCGTCGCCGAGAGGATGAAGAAGAAGAGGAAGTCCGACACCCCGAGTGGCGCCGAGAAGGAGGAGAAGAAGGACACGGCCCCCCCGCAGCAGACGACGAAGGCCCCTGGAGCGCCAGGGCAGGCTACCTCGGAGGCGACGAACCAGGAGGACCCGGAGGCCAAAAGGAGGCCAAGGAGGTCTGCGCTGCGGCTGTCAAAGCCGAGGCCGAGCGCCTATCCCGAGCCAAGTTCGTCGCAGCCGAGGCCATGGGCAAGGGGGAGTCGGCCAAGGCTGGGGGCAAGGGCTACACAACACATTCTGAATGAGGATCAACGAGTGCGTCTGAGTCTCATGGTAGGCCAGCTCAGGCGCCACGCAGATGTCATGGCCTTCCTGATTATTCCACTTCGTGCACGGCGCCTGGTCCACCGCATCTACTTCGGGGACCTGGTGAAGTGCATGGGCCTTCCCCCTCTCCTCCCTCCTCTACGGCGGCTAGGCCATCTACATCCGACTCGCAGTCGAGTCATGACGATGAAGATGGGGAGCCACTTACTACTCTCAACTTTGGGAACATTACGTGCATGAGTGATAAAGTTTGGCAATGGGTGGCACAACAGAGACGGACGACGGATATGTTCGCCTTCGTCGAGACCCATGTCAACGCAGCTGACACCAAGTCGTGGGACATCAAAGCTCGCAGTCAAGGGCTTCGGTTGTTCCCCAATGCAGCTCGCTGCGCGGCGCGGCAGCGTCAGGTTGCCGAAGGGCGTGAGGCGAGGGCGAATGAGGGAGGTGAGTGGATCTTGTCCAAGGGCCACCTCAGAATTCATTCTCTCGAGCTAGCCAACATGCCCGACCTCAAGCAAGAGAATTCGCAACAACTTGACGGCATGATGCCAGTTGTGGTCCACATGCGAGGGTTCTCGTTCGTCCTCATTAGTTTCTATGGCTGGAGTGGGATCGGCTTCTCGGGGGAGAACCTTATCCGATATCGACGGCTTGGAGGATTGCTACGAGCGCTCCAGTTGCCGTGGGCCGTTGTCGGCGATTTCAACATCTCAACGGCTGCCTTATTCCATTCTCAGTTCGTGTCCAAGCTAGGGGCCCACATTGTGACGGCTCCAGTGGAATACACATGCGATGCTGGCAAGAAGGGGTCTCATATCGATTATCTCCTGTGCAGCACCAGTGCGATTGGGATCATTCGCAGAGTGGATCCGATAGTGGATGCACCGTGGAAGACGCACATTGGACTCAGGATTTCTTTCAGGCAGAAGGGTGAACAGCTACTCACTCGTCTCATGAGTGTCGCAGTTCGACTGCCACAAGTTCCGCGGCCAGGAGTCGAGCCCACGGTGGGGTCCAAGTCGAGCAAGGCACGTGCTGAGAGGGCGCTCGCTGTGCAGGCCAGTGTCATCAAGCGAGATGCACGTTATGCAGAACTGTTCGGAGATGCTCTGGAGGCCGCTGCCCCGAGTAAAAAGGTTGACCAGCCACAGTCGGAGGCCTCGGGGCCACTGGTTGAGGCTGATGACCGATTGCACGATCTAGATCTTTTTGATGAAGAGGACCCTTGGGCCCACGAGCTTAACTTTTGCCCCGACAATGCCCTCGGAGGCCAGTCGGGAGCTGGAGGCTCGCACGTTGAACCGCAGTCTGGCGACCCTGGTCCTAGGTCCCTGGGGCCGACCTCGGACTCTGGCTCTGGTCCTGGGGACCTTGGGGTCTCGGCTGACCTCGCGGGGCCTAACGGGCGTTGCGATTCTGTGCCCCAGGACCAGGGGGCGCCGCAGGATAATTCGGCCCAGCCCCCCACGAGCCCGTCTGTTGGCCCAGTTTCCTTTGCCATTCCTGTGGAAGTGTGGGGGGCCCAGAGAGCCTCCGTAGGGTGTGTCAGTTTCTCCCCTGCTTCCCTCCCTCCCTACCTGTTCGACTCCGCCGTGTACCAGGCCAACCCTGAGGGCTCCAACATTGTTAGTGGGCTTTACGCGTCTTGGGTGCAGGCTGTCGAGGGGTCCATCTACCAACATCATGGGGATCAGGCCCGAGTTGGCCCATCTCGGAGTGTCCGTATTTCGTCGTCGAGGAGGTGCGGGTGAATGACAAAGTTCGGGTCGCCCCTCTACGTGATCTAGTTGCTGGGTGGTGGACTCGGCTTCGTACCGTCATTAACTCCTTAGCTCGCCACAAGGTCAGGAGGAATGGAGTGTTGCAGCGTCATAGGTTGGAGAAGGCATGTTTGAAGCTTCTTGAAGATAGGCCCGACCAAGTCCACCGTGTTGCACGGGACGGCTTGGAACCTGCCTGGTCGGAATGGCTTCGTGTGCTGCTGGCCATTGGTGAATGCGATGCCCCACTACTCGAGAGGCTTGCTAAGGATTCTGGTAAGATCATGCGTCGGGCCCAGCGTCGTGCTGTGGCCGGGTCGTTGCGCGAGTTCAGGGAGTGGGCGGTCACCTCGGAGGCGCTCGGCTGCCTTCACCGCTCCATGCGCCAGGACCCCATCCCTGCCCAGGAGCTCTGGGAAAACCACTCCCTTGTGTACCACCCCAAGGATATTGTGGATTTCAAGGCTCGCAAGTGGCATCAGTTGTGCGCCCCTCCTGTCAGTACTCCCGAGGCCTTGTTCGACGGGGTCCTGGGGATCATCCGCGAGGGCATTCGGGATTCGGAGGCCCTTCCTGAGATCCAGGTTCGCGACCTTCGGCAGGCCCTCAGAGGAACGCGGCCCTCGACGGGGCCGGGCGTGGACAAGCTCACGCCGTGCGACCTCGAGAGGCTCCCCGACGTCGGCTTGCAAGAGCTCGCCAACATTATGAATACTATCGAACAGCTTGGAGTTTGGCCGATCCAGACTATGGTGGTTATTGGGAAACTTCTCCCCAAAAAGCTGTCTGGGGATCGGGTCATCGGGCTGGTTTCTACGATTGGGAGAGTCTGGAGTAAAGCTAGAGAACCGTGGGTGAAATCCTGGACTGAGGCCACCGCCCCGAGCTGGGACGCCGCTGTTCGGGGAAACTCTGCCCTACAAGAGGCGTTTCGGCGCGTGCTTGACGAGGAAGTGCGTTCAGCTCTTGCCATTCCATATGGCCACAATTTGGTCGACATCAGCTCATTCTATGACACCATGTACTGGCTCAAACTGGCGCGAGCAGCTATTAGATTGGAATTCCCACCTATTGTACTACTTCTCGAACTCTCTCAGTGTGCGGCACCACGCACGCTCAGCCAGCTGAATGCGTTCTCGCAGCCTTTCGAGCCCACCCAGAGCATTGTCCAAGGGCTCAGATCGGGCGCATCAGCACAGCTCAGGTACGGTGCAGCCATCGGTTGTGGATCGACGACCTGTCGCAGGCCACTAAGGGCTCGCGAGAGGAAGTGCGATCGAACCTCATCAGATGTATTTCGGCTACGGCAGCAGGACTGAGGACTCAGAGGCTGTCTATTGCATCTAAGTCAGTGGTCATGTGCTCCCATCATGGCGACGCGAAGGCGGTGGTCAAAGCGCTGAGACTCCGTGGTGTCTCCATATCTGCAGCCCGTCAGTCTTCATACCTAGGGGTGGATTTGGGCGCAGGCCGTCGGCATGCACGAGAGCAACGATCGAAGCGGAACGCCAGGCATGTTCTTCGGAACAAAAAGGTGGTCCGCTACACGCGAGTTATTCGGAGAACCCGCCTGACTTCCAAGTTGGAGCGTCAAGGGGCCCAAGCTGCAGGTAGTTATGGGTATCAACTACATGGAGTGGTGGGATCTCATCGTACGGCATATCGGCGCAGACTAGGGGCCGCATGCTGTGGCAAGACTCGGGGGCGGTGCTTGACCACACTCCTGGCAGTTGAAGCTCCCAACCTCGACCCAGCGAAGAAGTTCGCAGCAGGTACATTTGAGTTATGGTTGCAGCAGTGGAGGGATGAGCCTCAACTTCGAGCCGCCGTTCTTCGTGCATGGCCCAAGGTTAGGGCCAAGATGGAGAGTATCCCAGAAGCTTCTCGCAGTCGGCATATACGAGGGCCGATGTCGGCCATTATTTCTTACATGTTGGGGTTCGGATGGATCCCGAGGACCCCCACGTCATGGGAGCCGCCTGGAGATTTCAAATGGGAGTTCCCAGATGAGAACTTCACTGGCATTCCAGCGCTGGATAGTTTCAAAGAGTTCATCGACGAGGTGAAGGTTGCTGCGATGGTTCCTTTCTGGCAACAGGCCGAGCTACACCACGATGGAGACGGCCTGGCCTGGGGCAAGGTGTTGATACGTATTCTCTCCGACGACTACTCCAGCAGCTCCGAGGTGTGCGACCTGGGGAACCGCGCAATTCAGGCCTGCTCTTGAACATCGCGATTGGTGCTGCCTGGCCTAAGGCTAGGAAGGTGGGTCAGCTGAAGTCCCCAGGGCGCGCGTGTCCAGTGTCGTCTGATGCTGGCCACTCGGGCGCTGCTTCAAGTGAGCCTACGAGCCACGATGTTCATCAGCAGCTGACGGCATCGGGAGTTCGACCTGTGGACACTAATATGAGCGGCAACCACGACCCGTTCGAGGACATCGAGCTGAGTGCCGGCGAGAGTCAGCCCTACCAGAGTGGGTCCTCGAGTGCACCACGACGGAGTGCACAGCAGGACATTCATTTCAATGTGAACTGCGACCGTTGCGGGGAAGGTCCTGAGACATCCACCGGTACTGGAGTTGTTCTCATAACAGAGGTGCAGTGGCGTATATCAATAGCGAGTGTCTTGAGGGGCAGGCCAGGACACAGCATGAGATGCACGCTTGTTTCTGGCACAGAGGTCTTATACCAGCCGCTTGGACCAGGACCCCTGAGCCCCCACAGGAGCATTCTTGGACATGTGGTGGTCTGAACGATGGTGTGTTTGAAGGATGCCTGCCGATGGGCACTGAGGCCGACCCCACAGTCATTTTCGGAGATGCAAGTGGTGGCCCAGATACTGCAGACAGCAGATTACGGCGGGTCGCACTAGGGATCGCTACTGTTGCCAACTACGTCGACCCGCAGGTTGAGTGCTTCATCACTGGACCGTTGTCAGGACCTCGACAGGTGGTTGGTCGGGGTGAACTTCGCGGGCTGTGGCTAGCCATCTGGGCCAGTCAAGGGCCCATTGTGTATGTGACGGATTGTGAGAATGTATACAAAGGCTGGGCTTCTAAGGCCTATCTACATCACAAAGGTGAGGACGGAGACGAGTGGGCCCGCATCGGGCAACTACTTTTGCATCGGTCTCCTGACTTAGTACAGGTTAAGTTCGTGAACTCACACCTCACCGCCGAG